TGTCTTTTAAGCTTTTATTGTACTTTGGCTTTTGCAATTATAGCTCACTGGTTCTGCAATAAATTAACTAAAACTAAAGTACATTTCTTCAAAATGTAGTAAGTGACAGAAGCCATATTCTTCTCTTTTTTTATTAACAGCTGCAATTTAACATCAAGCTTGATGTTTTGTAAATACACTGCAACAAATTTGTTTTCAAGTAGATGACAGATTTCTCAACAATGACGCTCCCTATTATGTGAACAGAATAGGGACAGATACTAATCAGGCTGGATTTTAGCATGTTACTGTTGTTCTTATGTTTAAATATAAAGGGACAAGGGCATGCATTAAAATATCCTCCTCACTTCCCTTGGTTACATTTCTGCTTCCCACCCCAATTCATTTTTATTTTTTTTTACAACAAATGAATAAAGCCTTTTCATTTTAAAGAGCATGAGGCGTTTGTATATCTTGGCAACCACAGCCAATATATCTCACAGTATTTGATAAGTTTAATATAAGTTAAAACACCCAATTAACTAAACAGTTTGGCAGTTCTTATCTCAGTTATGACAAACCCCAGTCCTCTGGCCTCAAGTAAATACCCTGTCACTGAAAAAAAGCAGAGATTAGCTGGTTACTGCTTAAGATGAGTCTGGATAGTTGGAGTTTGTGTATTAAAAATAACCTGTGCATCCTGCATGAATGGGGGGCCAGGGCCCATAATCGGCAGCTTGGCGTCCTCCGACCCCTTTGGCTCCTGACCTAATAGGAAGCAGCCAGGGAGAGAGCGCTGACTCCGGCCAGCCAATTAGAGCGCATGGAGCACGGAGCATACTGAGGCTAACGAGCTCCCTCTCTGTGACCCTCCTCACCTCAGCAGGACCCTGCGATGGGAAATATGAGGAGCCGGGAGCCACTTTAACTCCACGCCACCCCTCCCCTCAACCTCCCTCTTTAGCCTCCTTCGTCTCCCCACTCCAACCTCTACTCTCAAACCCTGCTGTGTGACCACAAGGTCTACAAACACATGCTGCCTCTCTCCAGAGGCCCACCACATGGCTTTTTACTACCACGCTGATGCTAAAAAGCACCACACAGAAAAACAATGAGCGCGTACACACACATTCCTATCACAGAGCTGGAGCTGTGTCACTTGCATTTCCCTGTAGTTTACTCTGGCCCGATCGTGGAGGAGCAACGGAGCCTCTTTCCAAATACTCTGAATAGTAAATGGGTTCCAAATTAATTGGCAGGATTTGTGAGGCAGTGAGATAATTCATAGGCACTGTAATGAAGTGGGACTGCTGCAGCACTAATGTGGCTTGGCTTTGGACATTATGTGAGTTGAACAAAACATTATCAATACAGAGTGATGAATCAAAAGCTAACAGTACACCTCGTAGGTTGATCTCAGCAGGTAGCAAGAAAAAAAGGGCGGGACAGTCCTGATGTTGGTGCGTTTCCGGCACACCACTCAGCCACATCCAAAGCTAATGAATTAAAAAAACGGGGGGGCGCAGTAAAAATCATCTACTTCCAACACCCCCACCCCCTTTTTCTCTGCAGGCAGAATTGGTCCTGTCATTTGGACCCTCCAAACACAGACCATATGTGGGTTCAGCCCTGGCAATCAGACTGCATTGTGGAGCAGGCGGCTGAGTTCATCAGGAAAAAATTAGCCCGCCGCTCTGCAGGCCTCACTCCCATTGGCCAGTCACGCGGCCCGCTCCGTTTGAGGGCACCCCAGACATTCCTGCGGATAATCTTTTCCATTCCTCTGCTCAGCTCGGTGAGGACAGACCAAATCACAGCACAAGGCCTGCATTGTGAGGGCCTTTTCAAAAAGCCCTGTTTTCAATGCCGTCTCTCTTTTATGCTTTCCCTCTCTCTCACCTCATACACCACAATTCCAAAAAAGAAAAAAAAAAAACTTTTTCCCATCATGGCTTCTTTTTCTCATAAAAAACAGTAAATGATTGCTTTTTTGAAATGACCCTGCGGAAAAGCGAAGTCCCGAACACTACGGTTCTCACAGTCCCTTTCCAGTAAGAGTTTGTTTTTTAAAAGCCCAAACAATGTAAAACCACTGAAACCGGAGCCTGGCCACATCAGTGTGCGGCCTGGAGTTCAGCGGATCGCTGCTGAATACGGCTCGCAAACCTTCCCAGAAACCTCCTGCTTGGTCACCGCTACATGCCTCGCACCTCCCACAGCAGCTTGTCATTGTGGCCGTAGTCGGGCGGCTGGAACGTCGAGATTGGAGGACAATCACACAGTGTGGGGACACTGGTGGATTTATAGTAACACGTTCCATAATTAGACCCATGATTATTACAGGGTCTATAAACTTTAGACTCCAGAGCGGCTGTCCAACCTCTGCTGCTATGACTTAACAGTTACTTCACTTTCTCTAGAAGTACACTCTGCTCTTGGCTGCTCAGGGAGAATTTAACACACAACTGAATTGGTTTAACATCTCCTGTAGTGGAACAGCAACAACAAAAAGATAGTAAAATCCACCTTGTTTCAACACTTTCACTCCCCCTCTCCTCTCCATTTGCCCCTGAATCTGAGGTAGACAAAATAATCTAATGCAACTTGTATCCCAGTGTGCTACGGGTCTTAAAATAGCCACAACATAAAGAAGGAAAACCTTTGACATAGTTCAGCAAGACTACACTTCTAATCCAGATGAACCTAATTGTTCAGGAAACATATCCACCCTTACTGCAGGCTGTGACAGTAAAAAATGTTGCAATCAATCAAGATAGCTCCGCAAAAAAGTACACAAAGATGGGGGTGGTAAGGTTGGTGGAAAAACTGCACCTCACCGATCATGCTGAAACTTGTCCATGAAAAAGTATTTGCCTGTGAAAGAGAGGGTGGTGGGTTCTCTTCTTGCCTCCACTGGAAAAATAAAAATCTATGATCTTGCAAAGATAAAAAATAAGAGATTTAGCTTTACATTGTCTGTTTGCTTTTAAGAGGATGAAACAGTAGGACAGAAACCTTTCTTTCTAAACCTTAGACAAACATGCAAGTAGGTTTTTCTCTTGAGATGTCCAAGAGAGAGACCTCTGGGGCAGATGGGAATTGTGTCCCTGCTGCAGTTTCAAGATCAGTGTCCTGTTTTGAACTCTTTACTTTCCAGTTACAGAATGGTCCACGTAACGACCAGGCAACATTAGCAAAAACTGTTTATACTGTGTGGGTATCAAATGTGATTGACCATTATACAACCCATTCACATTTCTGCTTTTTCTTTTAAATGACCTCTTTCAAGGTCATTAAAGACGGTCGTGTTTCTCATTCTTGAGGGAAAATCTTCCACTATAATCAGAAAACTAAGAAGAGACAAGAACATGTGTGCAGAAATAGATTTGATCAGTTTAATCATATTGGCAAATTTGATTGTGTCTTTTTTTTGCGGCCTATTCACAGATATAAAGGAATGATTTCAATTATGGAAAGACCTCAAGGCAGTTTTGATACTGACTTAAAAGAAAGAAACAAGCATGGATTATCTCATTGCTTATCAAATTTAGATTGTACTAAACAAAAAAAGAAAGATTGAACGGATTTTGTCATTTTTGCTTTTATCTACAACTTATGATGCAGGACCTTGATTTCTTTGTTGGTTGTGCGAGCGGTCTTAAAGAGGAAATGCACATGCAACAAGTGTTTTAAATACTTTATCCTGGTTTGAAACAGATTACAAAATGTAATGAACACTGCAAGATTGATTTACCAGAACATTTGATATTTACTTGTACCTTTTTTAATCCAATGAACCACTTCACCCAGCAAATTCCACTAATGTAGCTAAGAGCACTTCAAGTAAGGAAGAATTAAATCAAGTGAATCAGAAAGGAGTCTGATTCATCTGTAGTGCTGCGCAAAATGGAACAAATGGACAAAACCCTGAGCTAATTCAAAACAAGACAAAGAGGAAAAGCACTTGGTTTCTATTAGGGAGTTGTATTAGCCAAGATATATTATAAGATGTTAAGATATTCTCTATTTATATGTAAAGCTTTGTTCAGTGATATCAGTTGAGAACTAACAATGAACATACTGAATGTGCTTCTACTTAGGACTAAGGAATTCTAGTTGAGAGATAGAAAATTTATCTTCTGTAACTTTAAAATCAAACAGCTGCTCTTGTCTTGCCAAACGAGTCATGCTCTCATCACATGACAGGCAGCTCAGCTGGTCGCAGCACTGACACTGCAGAAGGAGCGAGCCTTGGGGATGGAGTGATAAATGTATCAGCGTGAGCCACATGTTCTGCACAGCTCCGTCCCCTATTCATTGGCCACACAGCAGACGGTTCAGTTCAGAATATCCACTAATGTCAGACCCTGCTTGCCTGTGAGTGCTGGGAGGAGGGCTGACTGGGGCCAACCTCAGAGCTCCTCTGTTGACTTGTCCATCACTGGGGCTCGACGTGTAAAGATACTTTTAAGCATTAAAAAAAACAATGCTCCAGCCACACCTCTGAGCAGAGGCGGTGGTGTGTTTCTGTGGCAGAAACAAGCAAGACTTTCCAATGTATGAAGAAACTAATAATCATAGAAAGTCAAATAAGATCTTGACAAAAGCTTCTCTATGTGTTTAGAAAGGTTTTTTTCATTTAAAGATTAATATTGTTAATTATTTTAAAACACAGAACATTAAAAAATAATGCATCACATCATAATTATCTCAATTGAACCCAATTAAACTAAAACTACATAACTACATACTGGTGTCTGAAATCATTTTGATCTGCCTTTGATGTCTTGAAAACAGCCTAAATTCAATGAGATGAGATATTATTTTGGATGATTAGACAGTCTCAATGCATCAGGTCATGAGGTGCACTTCTCATGACTAATTTTTATAGCCTGCAACTGATCCATCAGTTGAACCATCCTTGAATGCATCCACCCCCTACTTGGCTAAGAATACACAATAATAATGAATGAGGACAAGTACCCAAGAAGCACCAGGTTTGTTTACACAGTCAGTGTTACCTGAGGATAGGCGACGCTGATGGAGGTGACACATGCCACTGAAACAGGAACAAGCCTCGCCTGAGCGTCCTCGCTGCATTGGAGGAGCCAACGAGCACTGGGGCTTCAGGAACCCTGTAATGAAAGAGATGAAGAAAAATTTGAGACAGAAAGAAAAGATGAAGGAGAAACAGAATAGAAAGAGGATTCTTCTGAGCATGCAACACTGATATAACAATGGCCGACCCTGGCGGAAAAAGGCAAATTGAGAATTTGCCTTACGGGGCCCTTTGTTTGACGGTCATGGGGTGAGGAGCAAACAAGTTACAAAAAAATATATTCCCGCCAGCACTGTGCCACCATCAGGCCCAGCCAACCTCTCACATTTACAGCTCTGTGGCTGGCTGGCCCTCATCCTAACCTCCTCACCGGTGGCACTACACCAGCTCACTGCTCATGTCAACTCTGTGGCTGTACCCAGGGCGAGGCCTCCAGAATGTGGACACAGCCTGCAGAATACCGGGTAAGGCTGAACTGGAGGAGGATGAAAAGTGGGTGGGCACAGGGCCGAGGTTAGCAGCTCAGTGTGGGCAAAACGCCAGATTGGGCCGAGGTGCCTCGAGGGGCTGGACGAGGCCGTCTTACTGTCTGTCTCTGGGGTCAAGCAGGTCATTTTCAATAGGGAAGTCATTATCCAGCACAATGAAGCAACTGAGTAGGCTGCACCCCCTCCGGAGCAGAATTCACCCGGCCGTCACTGACATTATCCAGCAAACAGGAAGAGCAACAAATAAACCTACAGTAGATTGCCAAAAATAGAACTGATTTGGGGGATTTTTTTTTTTTTTTTTTTTTTATTACAGCACACACAAAGGGGGGAGAATGAAAAATAAAAAGTAAATACAAGAGAAATTTGGAACCATAAATAACTTGCAAATATGTGCCAAAACTCTGACCCTGTAGCACTAACCCCAACACTAATGACCTTTTAAAATTCCTGAATATCTTTAAATACTGCAGAATTAAAGTGGCATATGAGTGGCATTTGATGTCTTGATTGACAGCGTAGCCTCTAGCCAAAGTGGAAACTTCTGTGTGAACTTTACTTTTCTCACTCAAATGAGGATTCGCTCTGTCTTTATCGACCGGGTAGCTCATTGGCATCTGCAGATCACTGCAAATCCAAACTTTATTCATTCCTCATGAGGACCTTTAGATTTCAAGCAAACATCGAGAGCAACAGCCCCCACGCCCCCCGATCACTGTGTTCTGAGCCCAATAAAGCCCCTTTATTGCCACCATGAAAAACATGTCACTCCGGATGAGCTCAGAGAATGACATTTAAAACAGGCAAAGGGATATTGAATTAGTTCCCCATGATAAGCTGTCTGGGATGCTGATACTTTCTGCTTATAAAAGGGTGTGTAAGTGTGAGTGTGTGCCATGTGCATGTGTGTGCACAGTTATGTGGATGTGAGAGGATGGGGGGGGGGAGATGGGGGTTCATGTCAGATGCATTCTTCAAAGCTTTGATTAGTATTACGGATGAGGCAGGGACTGACAAGGCAAAGCAAGTCTGGACCAGCAAGAGCAAACACAGACTGACTGAGATCATCCTGCAGATCATGAATTAAATAAAACAGACGAGGAGGGCACTCTAATTAAACGAGAAGTAAACATGTTTGTATCTCGTTGTTTGCTGAGCACAGTAATGCTTTTGTTGTTATCAGATGTTGGAAAATGCCATCTGAAACCAAGAGAAGAGCCGTTGGAAGGATATGAGTAAAATGTAGTGACAATTTATGTTGGTGATTCTACATAATAACATCTTAAGAGATGACTGGACTCGAGTCAAGACTTGTGTGTGTGTGTGTGTGTGTGTGTGTGTGTGTGTGTGTGTGTGTGTGTGTGTGTGTGTGTGATTCTGAATGAGTTTTTATTAGATTAGGGATTAGTTCACCCCAAGCAGACATGTGTTTCCTGTTAGCTTGGGTGCAATCTATCAATCGAGAGTATGATTTGCCAAAAATTGGAAGATATCCATCTGTCATCACTCCGACACAAGAACTCAAAGGCCACGCTGAAGAGGGTGATGATGAAGTTGTTTGATATTGTGTTTGCATGCAAACAATATATAATCCAGATCCAGAATGTGTTGCAACCATTTCAAATTATACAACAAAAAGCACAAGACAACAAAAGCTTAGAAATTAGAGTATTTTTAATTGTAAACTTTAAAAGAAAGGCTCTATTTTGTCTGCTACAAAATGAACTAACAAAAAGACATCATAATCAGTCATCTAATCTTTTATAATCTGAACACCATAATATTCAAGGGTGCTTTGTTATATTCAAAGCACTGAGAATCTACACAAAAAAACACCAATAGCAAAAGAGGATTTCCAATGACCATAGTGTAGCATCATGGATGAGGTGCATGCGCTCTGGGTGAGAGGCAAAAATAATAAGAATCTTGTAAAATTTTGATTCAAAAAAGTCCTGCCCCATCTACTACACTCCAGTACATTCCTGGTTGTACAAAGGGGTTGAAGGGCAAACAATGACACATGGTATAGAGCTCTAAGCAATGTCACTGAACATTAAGGCATTAACATATGAGCCCAGGCTCGCAGTCAAGTTCGACTTTTCCAAAATCAGGAGTAAACTAAGCAGACAGCAGCTCCCCCACAAAAAGAGCCCAACACTGCAAGCCATCCACCAGAATAATGTTCCCACGGGACGGAGCAATGCTAAAGTATGGTGTTCAAACACTTGGAATTTCACCTAAAGCTTGCAGACTAGAGCTAGAAAATGGAACAAATTAGTTTGACCCTGAACTTGATCTCAGCATTGGAGAAAACAAAACTTTAGCCTTTGTTATTTTAAAAAGGTAAATACACAGATCTATAAGTTACATGAAACTTGGTAATTTTCTGAGAAATCAAATTACAAAAGCCATATCATCAAACATTAAGTTACCTGACAGTTGTAAAAAAAAAATAAAAAGATCTGAAATCCTATGGATTTTAGAAAGCACATAGGTGTCTTTTTCCTCTTGGCATCGTAAATCTTTTTCAGTGAGGGGCTTTACTCTTCAGGTCTTGAAGAGATGAAAGTGCGGCAGAAGCTCGGGCGTGTACGTGCAGGTTCAGGATCTGCTGTCATGAGTGGTGAGGTTGGTACGTGTCTTGTCATTACAAATCATCTCTATCACGCCGCATCAATATGTCTTTAGCAGGACCCTGATTACAGAAATGTTTGATCTTGCTCTTCGCTTCTAAGCAGCAAGGATCTCATTGGCTTTAATAACTGTACGTTCCAATCTTCGGTGGACAAGCTCAAACGCTCCCCACACCGGCAGCCAATCACCATTATCCTTACCAGCTGTTGTGGGGCATCAGAGCAATGTAAACACGCTGGGGGTCTTCTCATTAAAGATGGGCTGCTAATGAAATCGCATCCAGCATTTACAACCTAGTGCTAATGAAGGCAGGCCTTTGAGATGGTCCACTAATGAAAGAATGCTTTTTATTGATATACGGCTAATAAAAGAGAGGCTTAATGACAAGGTTCTAATGAAACAAAGGTGTGTCAATTTGCCATAATAACAAAACCCACTGATAAGCGCACGGCTGAAGTATTTTCGTTGATGGACAATTCTCATTTATCACAGACACATCAGTGAAAGTGCTTCCAGACTTTACAAGATCCCACAAACTCAAGTCTTTTGAATGAAATACATTCAAGCATTCATGAGCAGGATCGCAGCCGAGCTCTCTTAAAGCGTAACGATTGTTCGTGTCCCGTGTTGCCAGGGTGATCAAGCCCAAGGTCAAAGTTCATTGGGCCCTTAATGCATCTCCCAGGTGCAATAAAAAAAAGAAAAAAAAAAGGCCTTTCCCACGTGGGACTCCAGGGGATAAGGTCCTGGTAGAGCGCGCAGAAGGACGGGCCAGCAGAGGAGTCATCAATCGCCACGGTTACTGTCGTGAATGCCATTCACCTTCAGCAGTATTCTCCAGCATGCATCCAAGCTCCACGTGAGGAAAAGAAAACCTGTGTAAGAGAGACCAAGTTCTAGACTGCCTCCCCTCCCCCCCTGCCTGTCCTCCAAAACGGCCTTGAAGACTCGAGCCGGTTCATCAAGTGTTTGCCCACATGTCCCTGAGATATCCATTTTATTGGATTTTCTCTTTCTTCAACATGCTATTTCCTCAAACAGAATACTTCACTATGAATTATGAAATTACTATTGAGTACATGTAATAATTTTGACATGCTGAGACATATGGCTATATGTCTGTACTTTATGTGACAGTGTGTCCAGCATGTGCTGGAACAATTAGTCTGTTTAAACTAAAATGTATTCGTAATTTTAGATAATTGATTAACCATTAAAACATTAACCATTAAAACCATTTATCAAGCAAATATGTCTCCTATTTGCTGTTTCCAGTTACTTTTGCTGCTTTTCTGCTGCATTTTACATCAGTGGACTGAGTATTGGGGGGGAGGGGGGGTATGACTATTGTTCAGACAAAACAAGAAATTTGAAGACCTCAGTTCTGGGAGCTTGTGCTAGGAAATGTTCTCTATTTTCTAACACTCTAAAGGCTAAATGATTGACTGCAAAAATCACTGAGAAAAATAATTGTTAGTTGCAGGCCTAATGCTTTTTGCGTTTGTGTTTCATGCCGTTTTTCCTATAAACGAAAGGCATCAAGTACAACACTTAATGATCCTCTGATGTTTGCTTCTCCCTAAAGAGAGCTAATCCCGTGCAGCACCGTCTCATTACACCAACAATTACTACTCTGACAAAGCCTATGTGCTTGAACTACCTTCTCTTCATTTCAGTGAGGAGCTAAAACACACTTCAGGACCCATCAGCTGATAATCAAACACTTCTGAGCACTACATCCCCCTCTGATCCCCAACAGCATGGAAAGCATCCGTCCTGCTCCTGAGCATATCTGCTCCATCAGCAAACTGTCTTCCCTCCCCCTTTTCCATTTTGAAGAAGAAGAAAAAAAAACATTCAAACATGCCTCTTAGCTCTTATTTATCTCAACCAGAACAAAGCCTGAACAGATCTCACGACAACAAAGCAAACCTCATAAAGATAGCTGGAGGCA